CGCCCTTCTTACCCCTAAGAAGGATGGGTCGTGGAGAATGTGTGTTGATAGCCGTGCTATCAACAAGATCACGGTCAAGTACCGCTTTCCAATCCCTCAATTAAATGACATGTTAGATATGATGACCGGAGCCACACTTTTTTCTAAGATCGGTCTCAAAAGTGGCTACCACCAAATTAGAATACGCCCGGGAGACGAGTGGAAGACCGCTTTCAAAACCAAAGATGGGTTATACGAGTGGACCGTGATGCCTTTTGTTTTAAGCAATGCTCCAAGTACGTTTATGAGAGTAATGACCCAAGTCCTCAAACCTTTCCTAGAGAAATTTGTAGTGGTCTACTTTGATGACATTCTAATTTATAGTAGCTCGGTAAATCAACACTTAGATCACTTAAGACAAGTCTGAGAGGTCCTGAGAAAAGATCAATTGTTTTCCAATCCCAAGAAATGCACGTTCTCACCGATCACATAATTTTTCTGGGATTCATTATATCCTTCCAAGGCATATCTACGGACCTTGAAAAAGTGTGAGCAATCAATGAGTGGCCTGAACCCAATAACATTAGAGATGTTATAAGTTTTCATGAACTAGCTACATTTTATAGAAGATTTATCAAAAATTTTAGCACTATAGTGGGTCAAATAATTGACTGTTTGAAGAAAGGAGAATTTCACTGGACGACATCTGCTTCTAAGGCTTTTGAGGAGATAAAAAAAATGGTTGAAGCCTCAGTCATGCGACTGCCATATTTTTCTAAGGTTTTTGAAGTGACGTGTGATGCCTCGGGCATAGGCATAGGGGGAGTTTTATCTCAAGAGGGACACCCGGTTGCCTACTTTAGCGAAAAATTAAATGACATTAGGCAACGTTACTCTACATACAATAAGGAATTCTACGCCATTGTTCAATCCCTCTGATATTGGAGACACTACTTGCTTCCCCAAGAATTTGTCATTTTCTCTGACCATAAAGCCCTACGATATATAAACTCTCAAAAGAAACTAAATGCACGTCATGATCGGTGGGTTGAATTTTTGCAAGAGTACACTTACACGATTAGGCACAAAGCGGGATCTGAAAATAAGGCGACCGATGCACTAAGCCATCGGATGATGATTACTCGTGATATGAGGACGGACATGATAGGTTTCAAGCGGCTTAAGGAAGACTACTTAGACTACCCTGACTTTAAAGAACATTATTCTGCGTTAGCAATTGGAGGTGAAAGGATTATTGATGATTTCATGTTGGAAGGTGGATATCTGTTTAAGTCTCAAAAACTCTGTATTCCCAATACGTCACTACGCGAATTTCTTGTTTGAGAATTACATGCTAGTGGTTTAATGGGTCACTTCGGTCAAGCCAAGACAGTCGCTGCTGTAGAAAATTGATTTTATTGGCCGAGTCTTAAGAGGGATGCTAGCAGATTACTGAAGCGACGTCACACCTGTTAGTTAGCCAAACAAAGGAAGTAAAACACCGGCCTTTACACACCTCTCCCTATACCTAGCCAACCTTAGCAAGATGTTAGCATGGATTTTGTTCTAGGACTACCCAAAACTATTAGGAAGCAAGATTCGACGTGTGGTGGTAGATCGATTTTCTAAGATGGCCCATTTTCTCCCGTGCTCCAAAACTTTTGATGCCTTTAGAATCGCCAAGCTGCATTTTGATGAAATTGTGAGACTTCACGGGTTATCTAAGACCATTGTGTCAGAACGGGAAGTGAAATTTACTAGTTACTTTTGGAAGACGTTATGGCACAAAATGGGGACCAAACTGCAATTCTCTACCGCTTTTCACTCCCAAACGGATGGTCAAACCGAAGTAGTGAACAGGAGTTTAGGAAATCTTTTAAGGACCTTAGTAGGAGAAAATATTCGGGACTGGGACTCTAAGCTACCTATAGCTGAATTTGCTTACAACAATTCTATGAATCGAACTACGGGTCTAAGTCCTGCTGAAGTTGTGTACGGATACCTACCCAAACAACCCATTGATTTGATTCCCATGAGTCCTAAGTTTAGAACATCTGAGTCTGCATCCGCATTCGCATCACATCTTCAAGAATTGCACAAATAAATAAATAAAAGAATTCAACGAAGCAATGCTCACTATAAAATTGATGCTGATCGTAAGAAAATATTTAAAGAATTTGAAGTTTGAGATTTTGTTATGGTACGGATCCGTCCGGAGCGGTTTCCCCAAGGAGCCGTTAAAAAGTTACATGCTAGAAGTGCGGGCCCCTTTAAGATAATATCGAAAGTAAACAGTAATGCTCATGTGTTAGACCTTCCTGAAGGTTTTAATATGAATCCTACGTTTAATGCTGAAGATTTAGTAGCATTTAAGGGACCTGAGTTTAACCCTATTAATCCACTTCATAATGAGCCTAGTGAGAAACCACCTAGTGAGATCCCTAACCTACCTCCACTACCCAAGCTACCCTACTACCCATTGCGAAGAAGGTTGAAGTTATACTTGATGATGAAATCATTTCCACGAAAGAAGGTGGGCACCAAAGGTACTTGGTTCGCTGGAAAGGGAAGCCGGTGATAGAGGACACATGGATTGATCGAGACGAGCTACAGAGACTAGATCCAGATCTGCTAGAGCTATACGAGAGTGCCCGCAATGCTCACTCGATGGGGTCAAGTTTTCTCCCACCCGTGGAGAATAATGGGGACATCGATAAGACGTTTCGACGCGTCTATCAGAGGCGACACAGGAGATCGATGGCCATGATGGAGAATGTTTACTTTTGATGCATTTTATGTATTAGTTACTTTATTTCAGCCTTTTTCCATTTTTGCCCTTATGGGTAATTCGTCACTATTGTAGCCCAAGGGGCATTCTCGTCTTTTATTTTTCTGTCATTGTGAGGCCTATATAAGTGGCCATGTCTTATGTATTGGATGATGTTTTTTGATAAATGAAATTCTGAAGTTCTCTTTGTTTTCTCCAATGTTGAGTGCTTAAGAGAAGATGAAAGCCTAGGAGAGGCTATTGCAATACCCGTCAGCCTTTGAAAGAGTTCGAGGCTCGCGGCTCCACCCTTGCTCCCCTCTCTTTTCCCCTCAAACTCTCTCCCTCCCCCACATCTCGCCGGCTCCCTGCTCTCACCGCTACCCAACCCTCATGTTCTCCCCAAATCCCACACTACCCGATAACCACCCCCACCGTCCACTCCAGCCCCTCCTGCCGCCCCTTGGCCTCTACCCGAGCCCCACAACCACACCACCTCCTCCTCACCATACCGCCGGCCTTACCACCAACCTTGAATCCCCATTGATTGTATTGATTACTTTCCTAATTTAGGTAATTAAATTTGGAGGGATTTCAAATTCAAATTTGATTTGGATTAAATTCTCTCCTAAATTTCCTACCCTAATTAGGCAACCACTAAAGCCTCACAAATCTGAAATTAATTTCAGATTTCCCACTCTAATTTATTTAATTACTTGGGCCCACAATCCAAGTAATTAAATCTCCCGAAAAATCCGCCCTATAAAGCCGGCCACCCTCTCTCTCTCCAACCTCATTAATTGGAATCCAATCAAGGATCCAATTAATTAAATCACTTCCTCAATTCCCTCCCCCATCTCCATTTATTTCAAATTTCAAAATTTGAAACTCTCTTAGCCTAATTTAATTCAAAATCTGAACCTAATTTCAGATTTTGAAATTAAATCACTCCCAAATCTCACCCAAACCGACCAGCCCCTCTCTCTCTACTTTGGCCGCCCCTCTTCTTGCTCCCTCCCTTGGGAAGGTTTGAAGCCAAGAGAAGAAGACGACGCCCTCTCACCTCCTCTTCAATGTCGAATGGCCGATCCCGAGGTTGATCACGGTTTCGTTTACAACGATCGTGGGGAGATTGACATTCTTCTCTCTCCTTTCTACGACCCCGATTGGGAATACGACAAGACGGTGGAAAGATACGTCAAGCGCATCCTCTATTGCTTAGCACATACGATCGATCTTCAAAAGCCTAAGACGCCTTGGCTTCTCGTTGGGAGATCTACCCCTTCTCCGTCCGTGGCGACCTCTCCATCGACGAAGACCTTCAGTACTATCTTCCTAGTGGCAATTTCTCTCATCGTATGCTTCATCTTCAACCGCTAAGCCTAAGAGTGATTGAGCGAGTATGGTAACCATTGTGAACTTTATAAACATTAACCGTGGGATTTTATTACAACATATTTGTTTTTACTGTGATAATTTCATATCTATCTTAATTTGTTCTAAACTTCTAGTCTTGTAATTGCTTACCATAATAAAATTGACGATTGAGGGTTCTTTAATCTCGCCTTACGTAACATTGTTCTTAAGTAGCAAGCATCGTGTATCTTTTAATCTTTTTGTGCAATTCTTGATTGTCTCATATCATGATGTTATGTACATGGTACATTTGTTGCTTTCACATGCTATCCCAAATCACCTTGTCACCTTGTGAATATGAATATATAGCATTCTTTACTAAAATGATCAATCGAGGTCGGACTTGCCTTCAAGCTAGAAAATATGCCTCGCATTATGGAGCTTTCAAATAGTTCCATTATCAATCTTGATTTGTGCATCACCAAATCATACAAAATGTAGATGTTTACCCATCAATAAGATGAACCTTCTGGCCATTTTCTTAAGAATAATTAGATATAAAGACTTTTTGTAGAGTTGACCGAAAATACTCTGTAGTTGACTGAAAAGACACCTGAGTCCAATATTCCTGACTAAATAGAACTATTCACATTAATGACCCGTGCATCATAAATCTCTTTACTTACAAATTCATATATAGCTCCATCTAATTCAAACTCTATTCACGGTTCCTCTATGGATAGTCTTTTCATGTGGACTGTCTTGTAATATACACCGACTAGACCTTTTAATTGACTCCTATAATGACATTCAAAACTACCTCCATAGTTGTCTCTTGATCTCTTCCTACACTTGTTCCTCTGCTCTCAAGATTTAGAGCAGAAGAAGAGTCTTAGCCTTATTCTAGTTTCCTAATGTCTTCACCTAAGAAGATATCGCAAAATCATTATACTTCAACTTCATAGACCCACATGAATTGCTGACAACTATCACAATTCTAGCCCAATTTCTGAGTAGTGATGATAATAAGCACAATGCTCAAATTTCACTATGTAAGTTGATATCAACTGACCTCATCTAACTAGTTATTAGATTGAACTCACTGATATGCAATGTTGCAAAAGCACCTCTAAGCATCTTGATATTAACAAATTTTCCCATAGATATACCTTTTTCACTACGTAAGGCTTCTCATACATGACAGGTTTCACCATGCCAGCTAGGGTCCTCTTCTGCAATATGCTAAAGATAATATTCTTTGCAACTAACATGTGAACCAATCCTAATGCCTACTAAAACAGGAGATTCCAATTCTCTTGGCTCACAATTTTTGCCTTTAATACAAACAAAGGTAGATATAATTTTCTCTAATATTAATCTACATATTATAGAACCTAAAGTCTTTGCCATTGCTTAAATCAATCACCACACCTTCCTATCATCATACACAGCATTTAGCTCAAGTATTAGTTGTTTAGGAAAAATACATGACCAAGAATAATGCATGAGAATGAGAAAAACAATCAACAGGAGAACACTAAGAAAAGAGCACAAGAGAGTTTCTTGGTTTAATGTGACATACCAATATTTACGATTGCACAAAGACATAAATATCCACTAGTATAGAGAAAAAAAAATTCACAAAAAAATTTATCCTAAAATATTTTTCTCATTTTTATCTCACTTGTTGTTGTTGTATTCTTCCCCCTCTCTTATTCCCACTCAAAACTTGAGCATTATTCCTCCAACAACTACTCTCATTTGAGGTAAAGAAATCTGAAGCCTCTTATATTGAACCATCTCGCTGATCACCAGCCCTTATAACATACATATATGTTCTCTTGAGTAGGCCTTTGACGTACTGTTACCACTGGCTCTTCAATGATCTTTGCTGACTACCCAACAAAGAAATCCCCCTGTATAATACCGACTAAGAAAATTACTAAACTCCAACCACTAACTACTTATTCGACCTTTGCCTCTACATCTAGCTAAATGAAGGAGAATAATGCGTGATTCCTCACAACCCTTTATTTCTTCTTTTTTTATATAGCAACAAGTGGTACTAAGTATGACGGACTAAACGAGAATATGATCTTGAATTTGGTAATCATCAATTTTGAAAACCAAAATTGGTTCAATATTAGCCAAGATTTTCATGGGATTTAAAATGACTTTGAAATCAAACTTATATGATAGAACCATAGGGTAATTGAGCTCCACATGTCTTAACAGTTTGAGCATAAGATGATATTAATTAAGGAAAATTAGGATGATTTTTTTAATTTAATATTGAACAACGTAGATGAAAAAAACACCTACCAGGTAGAATCCATTTAAAGTCCAAGTCTACCAACTTTCTCAAACTATCAAGCTGCATATTAACTGCAAAATCACAAACACTTTGTTGGTTCACGTCTAGTAAAAACAGGCAAATTATATGAAAGGATGAAAAAAATAAGTAGCATACCAATTACACGTGGAAAAGTACCTGAAACCCTGTTAAATTGCTCAAATATGCTAAATTCAGAATCTCCATATTTTGCAAAATGATCGCCAGTGAAGAGAACCTTCAGTGGCTTGTAATACAGACAGACTGAACCCTGTACATATAAAATGTTTAATGACAGGCTATCCTCATAATCACACTTTTTTTGGGTGATCGATAGAACCCATTTTTGAATGGATTACCACCCACAGATCATGATTCAACTACCTATTATGAACTTTCATGATCTCAACTCTCAACTTACAAATATGGATAGGTTCAAAATAATAACTTGCAAATAAATACATCATAATTATCATTAGTACGTATAAACACTTGCGATTTTAAAATATTGGATCCTTCATGTTTACTTAGCTATTAGGTTCATTTAATTTCAGGAAACTATAATATAATTGCTCAGATATAAGTTTTAACCTTTCTAAACCAATTAATTATGTCCCTTAATACTTTAGAAAATATGTAGCAAGTTTACATCCACCTGGCAACACTTTCCCTCTCTTCACACCCAACCCAGCCTCACACAAACCACATGTGAGAGGCAGAGTATCGCTAACCAACTACTCGTCATTTCTTTAACTTCTCTCACCCTCCCTCTCTCGCTCCTTTCATACTCTCCCTCAACCTCTTCCTCCAAACAATCCCATCCCCTCCCTGAAGATGAAAATACAGTCAAACATTCAGTCAACTATGCCATAATTTTACATATATTGTATTGTGATGATCCCATTTCTGACGTAGGTATTGTAGAAATGTACATTGTGGATCTTACTTCAGTGTGGCCAGGAGTGTGAATAAGATCAAACTCTGGGCCAATGCTCCATGGACCATTACCATATAGTTTCATCTCAACGTCAAAAGTAGACTCCTTCACCTGGACACCTTGCATGAAAACAAATAATAATTGAGTAACCTTTTTATTTATTCACCAAGGAGAAATAAAAAAGCCAAATATGACAGAAAGAAGCATCCAAAAACATTCAAAGAAACGACAAAGCGTATATAAATATGAACAAAAATATAAATATAAAGAAAGGACAGAGAATCCTTAAAAACAAGTGCATAAGATTGTTCGTGAATTTGATGGTGTGCCCTTTGAGTATGCCATTTGTGACTGTCTTAATGAATCATATTTGGGAGTTAGTAGATTGTTTTACTAAACCTATAGGACGCAAAAGAATCTTCAAGAAAAAGCTCAAACCATGGATCAATTGGTAAATTCAAAGCTAGATTGGTGGCTAAATAATTTACTCAAAAGAAGGATTTAAACTACTATTGCATTATTCTCCAGTTCCTAGAACGACCTCCATAAGAATTTTTATTGCTTAGTTTCAATTTATAAGTTGCATAGTCACTAAGTGAATGTAAAGACAGTATTTCTAAAATGATTATTTAAAAGAGTAGATTTATATAGAGCAACCGAAAGGTTGTGGTGCTAGGGAATAAAAAGAAAGTATGCAAGCATATCAAGTGTCGGTATGGACTTAAATGAGCTCCAAAACAATGGCATGTAATACTTTTTTTTTTAATGGCATGGAATACTTCATACCACTATGATCTTCGATGTTTATGAGTTCAATGAAGCAAATACATGTATTTATCATGAATTTGATGACAAAAAAAATATGGTACGATCATTTTTTTTTTTTTGCACCACAAATGAGGTTCAACCGCGACATTGCAAATATAGCCAATGAGCTTCCTCATGCTAAAAAAAGCATGCAGGGCTCCACTCACCTCGTCAAATGTGTAACGAATGGGTTGCATCCATGACGTCGCAAATTTCACTGAAAAACTTCAGCTATGCTAAGAAAAATATGTACAGGACGCCGCTTGTCACACAAACACGCCACCAACAAGGTTTTGAGACTTTTTTTAGTTATAGCTTTATACCTGAATGTGCAAAAATGTTGATGGCATTAACAATGAAGTTGGAAGTTAGTAGTATACTCACATATGCCTTTATAGGTGCTTAGATGATAGTCGGTGAGTCGCAATGAAGGAACTCTCATTTATTAGGACCCATAAGTGGACTCGCCCAACAATTAGCATGTGTTATTTTCCTGAGACTCACAGGAGAACTCGTCAGTGATCAACAAGAACTACTCACCCTGGCCTACAAAAGGAGGTCATCCCTCATAGGAGGAAACCAAGGTTCCTCACAAGATCCAGCAATTCGTTCTCGCACCACAAGAAGTCAACCACTAGGGTTACTCGTTCTCAACCAGAGTGAGTATCATCACTCATGCTCACCAAGCTCAACTATAGGAAGGTGTCTATTCATTGGGCCCCTAGCCGATCCTGTCGCAACCATCCGATCTAGAGCTATCCTTTCCACAATAACTCACTTTCCTGCATTTTCTAAGGTGATCTGAGGCCCCCATAACAAGTTGATGACAATCCTAGCAAGCCTAACAATCGCAGACCCCCTTAGCTCAACACTCGCCAATGGACTTGCCCAAGCGCACTCACTTGAACCTACTTAACTCGCCCCAAAGACAAATCATTAAATTCATTCTTGTAACGCATCAAGACCTAAAGGAAGAATTTACCTACATATCCTATAAATTTCTCCACCACTAATTTCTTTAACATTTATAACCATAATCATCTAATATTCCAAAACAATATAAAATAAGCATCCCAAATTTGCGTATACAATATTTCTTCCAAAATACTTAAATAACAATAGTTCATAATACAATGATTACTACAAAAGACTAAAATATATTCTGAAATACAGAATCATGTGTACCTTATAAAATCATATTTTTTTGCTCTTTAACAGACTTAATCTATTCAGCGGGACCCTTGCCTTTATCTGAAATATTTTAAATAACATAACAACTACAAAACTCATTAGGTAACCTCTTCCCCTATATATGAGTTCAATTCATAAGTCATAATTAAAATAAACAAGGCAATAAAAATTCTGATTAATTCTACAATATTGGCGTACTAGATCACATATGAATATGAATGCAAATATGCACATATATTGATACCCACCTATAACTCTCATTTAGTACCTCCCACCTATTTAGAGAAGAAGCATAGCAGAGCCAAAACAGAGTAGAGTATATTCCAACATAGAATCATCTAAGAGCCAGAGTAGAACATAATAGTCTATAACAAAGATATATTTTGCATTGAACCCAAGCATATAATTCGAAGTGCACATTCATTTTCATAACAAAGCTCCACAATACCATGAAATGCACGCTGATGCAATGCAATATACAACTGAACAACTCAAGCATACATATAAATAATACCATATTTTCTAGAAAAATCCCAATTTCAAATGTATATGCAAATTCCTCATGACTTTACTAATTTTGCAGGGGATATATGAATCCGACACACTTTGCCAATTGTACTGAAATTCAAAAGTGACTTAGTTATTCATAAAAATTTTGAAATTCATGCAGAGTAAATCAACCAGTAAAATTTTGCATTCTTATAATCAAATTGTCTAGAATAGAGAGGTAATGATATACTAAAAGTTATATAATAAAATATTTTTAAACTTAAGAAAAACATATTTATAAGCATATCTTTCTATAAATATGTTGGAATTAAAATCAGAAACATAGTATATGTTGCCTACCTCAAGCTGGACAATTTCCCCAACTTACTGAATGGACGATTTCCAAATTTGGGCTTCCAAAATCTCTCTTCCTCTTTCTCTCTCCCATTTTCCTCCTTTCTTCTCTGGCAAGGATGGGGTGCAAGTGGAATTAACAAGTGATTTTAGATATTTTATTATTTAAAAAACCCACTTACTCGACCTAGCGTTGCAATGCTCACTTCCCCGGTGCCCATGCGCTCCTAAAGAATCTTCCAGATTCTGTCAGAATATCCTCCCCTGAGACCAAGCGTCATGGTGCATGCCCAAAACCTAATTTTTGTCCAAAAACCTGAGAGCTCAAAACTAGGGCGTCGCCTACATTGACGTCGTGACGCCCGCGTAGAAAATTTCTAACTTTGCATTTTCACTTCTCAAATCTCAAACCTTGGTTACTTCTAAGTCCCGTTAGACTTGCTAAGGCTTAAAAGTGCTAATCTAATTAAAATTAACTATGATTAATAAAAAATTTCTTTGAATTTTTTACGATGGGTGTTACAATTTTGGACCCAACTTTGTTCAGTGGATGATAGCCAACTTTACTAGCAGATATGCTTGGTGAGTTGAGAGAACCTGTGAGGACAGATAGTGGAAAGAACAAATAGAACAAGAAAGAATGAGTATATTACTAGAATCTACACTATCTCAATTAGAAAATACAAGTAGAGCACAAAAAATCCAAAAATCCTAAATTATTCCTCATCACATTTTATTTATAGGGCTTTGAGTGCTACAAA